TATTGCCGTGTCTGGATCAGGGGACCACAAAGCAGCTTGTCTTGACAACCCTTCCAACCAGCATGCAATAAAGGTGCTGGATTTGGGGGGGAATAAATTTGGAGTGGCAAAAATATGTTATCTATTCATTCTTACTGCACAGATTGCTCAGACGGTGACACAGAATTATTTCCGCTCACTCAGATTTTGAGTTGACCTTGAGTCCAGAACAAAGCACAGACGGGATGTACAGGCATTCAGACCATCTGGAGTAATATCTCAGGATCCTTCTCTCCAGCTGAGTGCTAAGCATTGAAGGACAGGGCATACTTCCGCTTTTGATTTCATTAGTAAAATAGACTTGTACATATAGTTCTAGTTCCTTTATTTCATTTATGGGAAAGATGTGAAGGGTCCTTTCATGGGTAAAGGGGTACATAGGCTGACACATTCAGGGCGAGGGGCTTTCTTGCAGGCATATTCTTCCAAAAGAAGAGACATTCCTCCTTGATGGAGAAATTGAAGACACATTCCTCCTTGATAGAGAAATTGAAGACATTTAATCAATGGTATAGAAAAAATCAATGGAACAATGGATCTGCATTGTTCTCTAGTTGTGAAAATAAGGCCAGATCTTTGGACTGAGTCAGCTATTTGTATGAAATCTCTTTTATTTATATATTTACATTCAGAGTATTGTAAACAGTGACTTCAAAAGGGACTCTTCAATTACCTAATTACACATCTCTCTTTACAATGGGAGCTCTGGTGGCCTAGTGGTAAGAAATTGTGCTTCTACCAGCTGGTGGAACCCACCAGCTGCAGGACTGTCCTGGTAAAAGGATAAGCAATCTCCTCTCATGGGATTAACTGCCTCTGAAAACCTGCTAGAGAGTCAACTATGGGTCGGCTCCAACTCGATGGTACACAACAACAATTTTGCAACTAAGGGCTCAGAAGAAATGGCCAGCAGAGAAGTGAAGTGACACCATGAAGGGACCAGCAGAGTTAGGACTAAGACGAGACCCTAGCTTCCCAGACCCTCAATTCATCCTAGTAGTTAGTTTTATAGATTTTGCAAGGTTGGACTTTTTTTTTTTTTTTTTTTTTTTTTTGCAAGTTTTAAAAATTCACTAAGTTCTCTCTGATTCTCCCACCCCTACCCCATGATTTCATTAACAACTGGTTTACCCAACAAAGCACTTTTTTTCTCAGACTCTCGGTGAAAATGTATGAAACTGTGTTAAGGTGTGCAGCAGCTTAGCTGCCTGTGATTCGTACGTTTGGCGGATATGCTGTAATGATTTCCTTAATGAGACCTTGCATAATGCAGTCAACTCCACAGTGAGATCTGTGGGCAGCGTTTCAGTAGGGGTGTGGTCTACACTGAATATATGTGGTTATCTGGAAAAATTCTCTTGCTTGTGCTGGATTATGGAGCTCTCGTGGCCTAATGGATAGAGAGCTGCACTGCGGACTCAGAGGCAGGCAGTTCAAATCTACCAGCTGCTCCATGGAAGAAAGATAGACACTTTCTTCCCATTATTAATTTAAATTCTTAATTTAAATTAAAATTATTAATTTCAGAGATTACTGCCTCTGAAAACCTGATGGAGGGTTAGATGAGTCTATTCTGACTCGGTAGAAATGAATTCATTTGCTTAGTCTGGATACTGAATTGGCTGGTCACCTCTGGTTCTTGGACTTGAACCCATAGCCTCTATTAGCTGTTAACCTTGAATTTGCCAACCTGTGAAGCCTTACCTGCCAGGTGGATTCCTCAGACCAGGTAGCTATGTGAGAAGTCTCTCTTTTAAGGTCTGGCCCACAGACCTGGGACTTGCCAGATTCTACAAGTGCTTCAATCTCTTCCTTGACATAAACCTCTATCTGGAGGTTTCATTGCTTCTGCTCCTATAGAGAATCTAGCCTAAGACAAACTGGCATAAATTTTTTCAGTTACTCTAGTGGCATCCACTTCCTAAACAACATGCCTCTGGAAACTGTATGAACTTTGATAAATATCAATAGTTATGGAAAGGCTTCAGGCCTTGTGTTCACAGGGTCACTAGGAGTCATGCTTGACTCAAAGGTGATCAACAACTATGATTTTATTAGCCCTCAGTTTTAAGCCACTAGATATACCCAAAGGAGTCTTGGTAGCACAGTGGTTAAACATTGGGCTAACCATTCAGGTGTCATACCCACCACCTGCTCAGTGGAAGAAAGATATGACAATCTGTTGCTGTAAAGATTTACAGCCTTGAAAACTATAAGGGGCAGTTTCATTCTGTCCTGTAAGGTCTAGATGAGTCAGCATCTGTCCCTCAGAACTGGGCTTATGCATCTCCAGCTCTTCTGATTCTTTCCTTCCTTTCTACATGTTGAAAAAACAGACATGTTTAAAAAAAAAACCTTTCTACATGTTAAAAAAAAACACAACCCAACCCAACATGCATTAACTGAGAAATGAAAGTTAACACATTCTAGGATACCCTACTGTCTTGCACATACATAAAGAGAAATACAATACAAGCAGGGCAAGAAAAGCAGTAGAGAAAGTAATTTGGCAGAATTTCCCTTTTAGTAAGGTGATTGAAGTTAGCTATTCTCAGATTTCAGTAAGGAAATGGTGTGGTAGAAGGCACCATCAGGGGAGAAAGCTGAATGTAGGGTACATTCATTCAATTTATGGAGCTCTGGTAGTATGGTGGTAAGGAGTTGGGCCTCCAACCAAAAGGTACATGGTTCAAATACACCAGTTGCTCCTTAAAAAAAGATGGGCAATTTCCTCCCCTGTGATTTACTGTCTCTGATAACTCTCTGGAGGGTCAACTATAAGGTGGTTCTGACTCTAAGGTAAATAAAACCAGATTTATTCAGCCAAGTCCATTGTCAATCAATATGGTGGCACACCAAGGTCATTGTCTACAATGAAACAACCCTAGAGAATAAATTATTAAAGATACAAATTATCTTGCTAAATACAGATAAACTAATTTATTGCCATCCACTCTGAATTGGATCAGAGCTGACCCTCTAGCATTTTTCAGAAGCAATAATTTGCACAAGAGGTGATTGTCCACCTGTCTCCCGCAGAGGGGCTGGTAGATTTGAACTGCCTGCCATTGGGTTGGCAGTGTGTAGGCCACCAGAGCTCTAGAGCTCTCTTAATACAAATATGCTGTTGTTATTTGCCACTCAGGCATATCTGACTAGTAGCTGACCCTCCAGTGTGCTTTCAGAGGCTGTAAATCCCACAGAAGGAGACTGCCCTTTTTCCTTCTGTGGAACAGCTAGCTGGTGGATCAAAATTGCATGCCATACTAAACCAATGGAGCTCCCTAAAAATAGATAAAACTCAAGTATATACACACACACAAAATCCCCAAACTCTATAAAAAACACAACCCCATACAAATGTCAATTCATTTCCAAACTTGAAGAAAACAGTAACTTGAGTTTTCCTGGTCACATACAGGTAAAATGTAAATACCAATGTTTAGTCTTCCAGAAACTAGAAAGCACATCTACAAATAAAGAACTGGTTACAGATCACATTTGAATTCTGAATTCTCTTTCTTGGGGGAAAGCTGGTAACTCACTGCTACCAGCATTTATGTGGATTATCACATTTAAATGCTTCTGGAAGCATAAAGCTAAATAGTGATTTCAGGGTGACAGCAGCTGGCAGAGATAAGCAGGGGCAAAGCAGCTAAAGTAAACTCTGGTGGTGCAGTAGCTGAAGCGCTGGGTTGTAATTGAAAGCGTTTGAACCTGCCATGGAGTGAGAGATGTGGCAATCTGCTTTCTATAAAGATGAAAGCACTGGAAACTGCATCAATATGGATTGCATCTCAACATCAAGAAAACAAAGATCCGCCCTGCACCCAGTGACACACCAAACACATTGTTCTTGAGCTCCATAGTATGTATGTATGTATGTATGTATGTATGTATGTATTTATTTTTCATTAAAGGTTCAAAACCAAAAAAGAAAAAGAAAAAAAAAAAAAACACAACAAAGATCCTTACCTCCAGGCCAGTTGGCAATAGTATCATGATAGATGGAAAAAAGATTGAGGTTAACAAATTCATCTTGCTCAGATCCACCATCAACACCCTTGGCACCAGCTGTCAGGAAATCAAAAAATGAGTTGCTTTGGGAAAATCTGCTGCCAGGGACTTCTCCAGAGTGCTAAAGAGCAATGATATCCTCTAGAGAGTAAGATGCCCCAATCCCAGGTTATGGTCTACTCTGTTGTTTACTATGCATCTGAGAGCTAGATAGTGACTAATGATTAGAGAAGAAGAATCAATGCCTTAGAATTGTGGTGCTGGAGTATGAAACATACCATGGACCGCCAAGAGAACAAACAGATCTGTCCTAGAGAAGATGAAATCAGGTTGCTCTTTGGAAGCAAGGATTTTGAAGCTCCATCTCACATAACTTTGGGCATGCAGCTAGGAGGGATCAGTCCCTGGAGAAGGACATCATGCTTGGAATGGTAGAGTCGGTGCAGGAGAGGAAGATTCCAGATGAGATGGACTGACATAGTGACTATGACAATGGGGTCAGGGGTGTTAGAAAAGGTGAGGCTGGTTCAGGATGGTGCAAGGTTCAGAGATGTTGTTTATAGGGAGTACGTTGATGGCAGTGATATTTTCATTTTTTTTTTAGGGGAGTGTTAAGTGATTTTTTTTTAGAAAATAAAATATGTTGCTACAAACGCTGGAGCACAAAGAGCCCTTGAAAGAGTCACTGGCGATCAGAAATTCTTCAGAAATACAAAGTCATAGGAACAGCTGAGCCACGCAGGCCCTAATCAAAATGGCGCCGGGCTCTGCTCGCTCCGCCCCTCCTCCACTTCCGCCCGCTCCGCGCGGCCGCCGCCAGGGGGCTGCGGAGACGCTGCCGGGA